GTGAGAGAGAAAGAGCAATCCCTTCTCCTCCATTCTCCTCCTGAGATTTTGAGCATGCACATACACACAGCTGGTATGATTTTCAAGCTGCTGGGTCTTGGACTCCAACCACAAACAGACACTTGAGAATCTAGCACCGTGACTACCACTTCACCTGTTGGCCCCAGTATGGTCTATACTTTTGAAAAACTCTTATAATCCTTAGATTATACTGCAGTTCAGTTCACCAATTTTTGTCTCTTCTCTATGAAGACTTTGTCAAAATCGTAATATCAAGTAAATAATTAAATATAATATATAAACTATGGAGTAGCACATATCAACTGAAGCAATTTCTCTTCCATGTTACAGGGCTAGTAAGGCTATAAAACCTTTTCTAATATCCATCAAAAAAAGATCTATTTTTCTTACAAAATCAAAATGTAATCATTTCAGTGTTTATTTTCAACAATGTGTTGAAGTTACACGTGCTCTATCCCAGGGCGTTAGTGTCCTCACACTAATAGCATAGAGACTCACCTATTGTAAAGTGACTTGTTGACGGAGTGCCCTGTCGGTGCCCAATATCCTCGTTGCAGCGACAGACTTGGAATTTCAACCCCTTTATGACACCCTCCACAGACAAAACAAGGGAACTGGAAAGCAATCCATTTACATATGTCAACACAGCTGCTGTACTTGTGGCCACGATCTTCTGTGCCACACTTGACAGATTGTTTTTTATATCCTTGAGATTTCTCTTCTTGTGTCCATTGAAATATACTATAACATGTTGTTACCTTTTGCCAAGTGAATGAATTGTGATACTTGGCACAAGTGTCTTTCACAAGCAAGAGATTACAGAGCTAGCCTGGCCATGAATTGGCAAGATAGCGGTAGTACCTGCATGATACTTCTTCGAGGAGCCCGTTAGAACGTTTGCTAAGGTAGCAGGGGTTACCCAGGAGTCAGCTCGCTGTTTGAAGATCTCATCTTTCTCTTCAACAGGTTGATTATGTATGGCTTTGTGAAAGCTATGATATATGCTGGCCAGTTGAAGAACGGAGACTTTCATTTCACTGACTGCTTACTTTTTGGTTCACTGATATCTGCTACAGATCCAGGTAACTGCTCAAATAATACATTTCCTTCCTTTTAAGAATCAAATATTTAAATGGAATGTTTCTCCAAAGACTATCACCTGAGTCTACATAATAATACTTTGTCTTCGCTTCTAAGTACAAAATAGAAAGTAATTACAAAAATAGACTATTTTAAAAAAATAGACTATTTTTCGCTATTTTTCCACATACACTCCCTCTCATCATGACTGAATTATGTTAAAGCAAACCCTAGACATGATATCATTTTATTTGGAAATGTTTTGAAAAATTATCACTGCCATTATACAACCTAAAATATTAATACACATTCTTTAATGATATCAAAGATCTAATTACGGGTCAAATATTCTCAATTGTCTCATTGTCATTATCATTTTCATAATGAGTCTGTGTAGCAGTTTGCACAAATCAAAATCCAAACAAGAGCTATCCGTTACAACTAATTTATGTGACAGTTGAGTCTCTCTTAATCTCTAAGTTCTCCCTCCATTTCTAATTTTTCTTGTCATTTATTTGTTTCAAAAACCAGGTAATTTGTCTTTAGATTGAACTGAATGTGATTCCTTAAAATGTTCCTCTATGCTCTGTAATTATCTTAAACTGATGGTTAGAGCTAGAGGCTTAATCAGATTCAGGTTCATCAAAGGTGATGCCGTGAGCTTTCTATTGGATAATGTCAGGAGAAAAATAATGACTCGTGTCTGTTAGCCTTATCTATCATATCTTCGAGTTACTACTCCAGCAAAGACCACCAAACACACCTATAGTTGAATGACACGGGTTTATCACATGTTGCAGTGAGAGACAATGCTCTCCATGGGGAACCATGGGATGTATCTATTCGTATTAGAAAAAAATTATTATAGGATTGGGTTTATGTTTGGTGATTTTAGGACAGTTTAAAGAATCAAGACTTTTCCTTTGGATTAGATATTTCTTTCTTTCTTTCTTTCTTTCTTTCTTTTTTTTTTTGGTGGAGGTCGGGGGGGG